CCTAGTCCCGATTGGCCCAGGTTCCCGCATTGGCAGTTCAGTTCAAGGTTACCGCCGCTTAGGAAAAAAGGGATGGACCCTTTGCCGGGGAGTGTCAATGGACGTGTACATTGAACGTTTGTTTATTGAAACTGGCATCCATTGGTGGGCAATTCGAAGGCGCGAATGGTCGATCGCTGGCAGCCTGTAGACGGCCGTAGGTCATTTGATCAGCTGATGTCTAGCGGCTTTATTTAACGAAAAAACTTCGAAAATAGGTGATTTTTCGTTGTTTTACACACTTTTACACCTATATTGCTGCTAAAAGTTGATGTAATAAGGCGTTTTTAGCATAAACGGGAAATGATGGTGTCCTTATCCGGCCGTAATTTACGGCCAATTTACAAATTGTTGAATTACGTACTTTTCCGTTCAGAAAACGTCGAATTACTTGAATAGACATATTATAACGACTTTTGGTGAATTTTTTTTGCAGTTTAAAGGATTATACATGGACATGATGAGGTGGGATAGTTGGTTTTGTTGATTATTTGATATACTTAGTTGTGTACTTTTGCTAATGCTGTCAAAGCTCCTGTACATGTATTTCATTAAAGTAAATCTACAGAAATGCTTAGAAATTATATACGCATAGTATTTACTTATTTTATGGCATATACTTGATGTTTACAGGTAGATGCAATATCCATTTTTTCTTCTTGAAAAATATTGACTGATGTAATTGTATACGATTAAACTGATTATTTCATCATTTTAAACATGTTAAGTAGTTATTTATTGCATTTACAGTGGTAACAATGTCTACATCTTTAGAATTCTTTTGTTCTTTTTCAGATAATATCTACTTTCGGGAATTTCATGTATTTGGGCGATAAAGAAAAACATATCTGCCGTGTTGTTGATTATGTATTACATGTTTATTCATTAATAAATGTATTCCTCGTTATTCGTTTGTATATTCTACTTGATAAACCTGATTTCTAGCTTTTGCGTAATTTGTGAGGTACGGAGTATATGACGTGATCTTCGAAATGCTAAGTAAAATTAGATATTTGGAGAGGCTTATTGATAAAAAGACTATGTCGTGCCGTAATAAAGTTACTGCGTCCACTTGTAAAAGAAAACATTGAGGTTATAAGCGCTTAGTTATATATCGTCTTAGTAGGAACCTATTAATTGACTTCGGATTCATAGTCAAACAAGGTTAAAAGTAAATCTATCTGAGATAGTGAGCTTGCGATTTCTACTTATCGTAATAAACCAAGATGGGAATAATGTACCTATACTGTTAGATTTATAACTCAGTGCAACTACGGTGATCGTAATAATTAAAAACGGAATGCCTACTATTGAAATACAATTATACTTCATTAGAATACCTACGGTTCGCAGCTACAGAACACGGTACGTTTCTATCTGTTCATGTAATCGCGTAAACAACAGTTTCCCAGACGCCGCATTTACTTCTAAAAGTTTGCCCTTAATTCTTAACTTAGCACGTGTTACTAACGTCACTGGAACACAACCGCGTTACAACAGAAGGAACACAGATTCATTAAAAAAGTGTTTATTAAACAAAAATTAGATTTTAGATGTACACATAATTCAGATGAGTAGTCCTCCGTCATTGTCAGTAGGTTCCATCTGCGTACCAGCACATATATGTTTCTCCATAAGCCTGAAAAGGTTTAAGAAAAGCATTATTAACTTAGGTGGTACATGTATGATCTGAATAAAAAATGTTTCTTCATAAGCATTTACAAGTAATCCCTTCACAAACAATATATATAAGTAGCTAAATAGTTTTCACTAAACTCAAGGGATTTCGCAATTTATCGTCGGTCGATATCTAGTAGGTCCATCGAAGCATCATGAAATGAAATATTATTTAACGACAAGTCATGGAATAGTTTCCAAAGCTTGAACAAAGATTTTAACAAAGGTGACAACAGCTTTATGACAAATAATACGAGTTTTGACAGCATTAATAATAATAACGTTCATGTTCATAGTGACTATACAAACAATAATAGGTATTATTATCACAACGAATTCATCATTAACTTAGATAGACAACTACTTATTATACAATCATATCAATTAAATGTATCACTTAATCTTATGAAGCAGGTTTTTACTTACTTTCACTGCATTCTCGCAATAGTGATGTGGTCAACTAGCTTATTCCAAATGAACTCAAGATTAATCCTGAAAGGGAATGGAGATCCAGTTTATTTCAACTAAAAACATGTATCCTACATGTATTACACTGCTTAGTGAGACATTTGATACCTGCTTTCCGATCTTCCTGACAGGAAAACAGTAAATGTAGGTTTACCTACATATACTGTTTTGATCTTGATATGGGATGAATTCATTGAATTCAGCAAATAAATCCTCTGGTTTATCAAATCTATCATGAGCTGTAATAGTATGTGCTGTCAATTATGCACCCGACTTGATAAAACGCTCCTGGCAATTGCGAACTTAACCAAGCAGTTAAATGATGTTTGAAATTACCGCAGCTCTAATGACAAACTGGCCAATCACAAGCGAGCAAATCACTTGTTTATCTCACTCGCGGGCACTCAAAATTACGGCCGTCGACAGGCTGCCTCGATCGCTTGCAAGTTGAATGAAGACTGGAGTTAAATACGAATAAAAGTACTTTATAACTTCATTTGCACCTAACATTTGTTTGTAGACTTTGTAGTTGTCTTCACTTTAATTGCCAAACAATATAATTTCGTTCAAGGAATACTGGTGTTTTGGATTTAAAGTTGAAGGACATCCATAGTTTTATCGGTTCAATCGCCTACGTCTTCATTACAATAGGAACTTATGGCCAAGTTCCTTGACACCTACCTTATGAGACGCAAGAGGAGAAATGTAAATGAAGGTTATTCAGAGATTTCAACAAGATGAGTCAGCAATTTCAAGTATTTGTGCAAAATAATATCCACGAGCTGGCTCACGGTGATTCCGCGAGCCCCAGAGAGATCCTTTAATGCTCTCAACAATGTTGCAGTCTTCCTGATTATTTTGGTATACATAGGGAGAGCATTTAAGAGTAGCTGGTAGAATGTAGGACTTAACAAACTGTTTAAGCAATATCTGATTGATAACAGATCGTCTTGACTTACTACACACGTAGTCAGACGAAGTATTTTCCTAAAAATGAGCAAGATGTTGGAAGACAACGAAGTATCAAAGGAAAGGTCTAGTAAAAGATATTTAACATCCCATATAGTTTCAGATTAGAGGCCGAGGGTGTTGACCTTCATGGATAGTACGATGTATAATAACACAAGATCTAACACTCACAACTTATATTATATTCGTTCCATGAAGGCCAAAAGCTAGGCAAAACACCAAGTTGATCACCCAAAATACGAAGTATATTTCGGGACCGAATCGTAATGGGGGATGACTGTTTAACGAACGTAACAAGATGGAGCGCCAAATGGCGTGGATACTCGACCGCGAGACTTCGGCTAAATAAGATGACTTAAACAGTGAGGGTCAGCACCAAATGTTCGGTGATGAATACTGTGGTTAATAATTCTGGGCGACTATCAACCTCTACAAGAATAACAGCCTCATATTTTGAGGGATTTGGCTTGAGACCATTGGTTAGTTGATGACTGATAGGTCTCTCTTTTTAGAATAGTTTCACTGGGGAGTAGTAGGCATCAGAACAGTCATAACTGGCTCCACCAGAACGAGGGAAACAGAAAAAGAAGAACAGCAGAATAAGGGACATCGGTCAATGTAAGCCTATTGGAGGAAAACTTTCTCTTATAGATAGCGTGCTGCCCCCTATCAGAAAAGCAAAACTGAAACCACTATTAATCCAGCAACCTGTAAGTATTACAGCAAGGTCGTTAAACAAAGGAGGCCGGGGTGTCGGTTTAGAGGGAGATGTGTGATCTAGACAGCCACACTGAACACATTAAGTACACCTGTCCCTACCGAAAACAATGTTATGATGTAAGAGAGCGGTAACATACAAACCACATCCATCATGTATGCCAGAACACTGTTTTGGATAATTGAATGCCTTCAATGAAGGGTAAAGACTAAGTGTTTTTCCACTGCCTTCAAAAACAAAAAACGTGTGCGCAAAAAGGGTTGGTTGTTATGCCTTACGTATCTGGATGATTACTTCATGAATTCATCGTATATAGTAATGTCAACCTCTATATCGTTACATCTAGTATTGTTTTCATGTTTATATTTCTTATTCATTTGAATTGTCATGATCACTGGATGCTTCTCAATGTACTCTTGGCAGATAAACGACTTCGGGTATGAAGAATGCCCAACACGGAAATTTAATTGTATATCTTCTCGAACCATTTGTTCTAGTTAGAAGAGAGTCAAATCAGGGCAACAAGCTAACCTTCCAGATTGCGAAGCATATTCCGGGATACGATATACAGAGCGATGGTGTCTGCTTGACTGGCTATGGTATGTGAATGAACAACCGAGCTAAAATGACAGAGTGCAGAATCGGATGGATACTTTGCCATATGTCTTCGGCTTAAATAGTACACTTAAACGGCGAGGGTCGGCACCCAATGCTGAATAATGAGGGCTGATGGCTACTAATTTGGGGAAATAATGACGGCTACACCGCAAATCACTACAAAGTTTATGATAGGTGAATAAATATCCATTTACACGACGCTGGATGGGTAAATTACCAGGGGCCTCTAGGACGTGAATACATAATCCTTCCAGTTTTCGAAACCACTCAGTTATATAAACCCACACATTAAATATCACTTAGGGTATAACATGTGCATCAGTATTTGATTCGTAAGGAATTTTAAAATGCAAAGAGAGAGAAAACTTTGGCAGAGAGTGGGTGAAATATGCAGACTAAGTAAATATACTGAAGTAATTCTTTTAATTTAAAGATTTGGCGGTAGCCCCATTCTTCATACAAGTCACTTACTAAAGAAAACGAGATTATGCACTTATCTTCTTTTGAATATCAGTAAAGCAAAAAAGGCTGTTCGTGCTGAATGAGATGACGTTATCATTTGTTTCGTTGGTTTCTTTTCAGAAGCTTTATTTAATCGACGTCACTCTTTATTGAGGTTTGAAATTTACTTCTATGAGACCCTGAGCAGGGTCCGCGCGCTGTTTACAATTACTCCGCTTCACGTGTTGTTCTTAATTTTCGGTGGATTTCTAGCGTCGTATCTTCAGGTACCTGTCACTATTGGTTCATAATTGTTTGTTTGAAAGTGTTTAACATAAAACAGAGTTTCAATGCTACTTGCTCACAGTGTGTAAGGGTCTTTCAAACGTTTTTGGCTTAAAATCTCAAGCACTGAGATTAATAAAAGTGATGCTGTCAACCACTCGCCGCTGGTCTGAAAAGTTTGTTATCAAGTATGTTTCTTGCTTTACATTCATACGATCTGTCTCCCCTTTTGTAGGCATCCCTGGCACGATGTTGTCAGTTCTGTACAATTTAAATATCCCAATCCCTATAACCCAAATGTGTTAAATATCGATGTCCTTAATCGGTATGTAGATGCTTCAAGTGGCATAATGCATAGCTGCAAATTGATTAACTCCTCATGGCCAATGTTTCACATGGGTCACCTCAGAGCCTTGGAATACAGCTGTGTCCATGTTCCAGAGAAACGGATGATATCTAAAACCATAAATATCGATCTTCAGGGTGTCCTCGATGGTTTAGAACAAATGGAGTATACTGTACATCCAGAAAATAAAGACTGGTATGTCGTTTTGTATTGTTGATGTTTGCTTCTTACATATTTCAATATTCCATTACGTTAATATAACTATGAAATTGTGGAAAAAATGTGGAGCCGGTCTTAAGAGTTCATGACAATAGCATGTAACCCATGTTAACTTGTCATTATCGTGTTGCGAATTTGCCATCACCCCTAACAATTCATCTCAATGCATGCCGTTTTTCGCAAGAAATATATGAGTATGTTGTGTTCAAAAGGTGTTAGAAGATTGTTATTTCTTACACATGTATTCATCAAGTTACTTGGAATTTTTGAGAAAAAACCACATTCTCGGTAATTCACTTGTTGAAACTACATAATAGTGTGCTATCTTCAAGTTGTGGGTAACGAATCAGTTTCTCTTGTTTCCTAGTACGATATAATACAGATATATAAAATGAATAGAAGCTGGATGCCAATACCCTATGTATACAACTGAGCTTTTGCTTGAATTCGTTTTACGATACCTAGGTTTAGATAATGTCAGTTCATCTGTTTGTTACCTTACAACCCGATATACTACGAGGAAGCTGATTTGGGAACCCACATTTGTTTTTAATGTGAAGCAGAGACAAAAGTTTTCAGCATAGTTCTCATGGGGAGAGTTGCCTTTTTTCCTTAATTAGAGGTCACTCAATTCATTATCACTGTGCAAGTATTTTCCAGACCATTCTAGCGTGGTAGCCTCTGTAGCGATCAAATTAAATTCTTTGCTGAAATTTATCACTTATAGTTTGGAAGGCACTTAAGTGTCCTCAAACTCCACCAAAGCGGGTTAGAATAAATGCGTCTGATTCGGGAATATAAGCCTTAAGTTGGATTTCACTTCTATTAACAAACCATATATAAAATACTCAGCCATTTGTCCTTTGTTTTTCCCTTTAAATTCCAAAAAATGATACAGATTAAACTAATGGGTTGATTTTTCGATATCAGTCTCATGTTGCCGTTTTTAAAAATGATGAAAACATTGGCGTGCTTCCATCGATTGAGATGGCTAGGGTGAACTATAAAGTCATTTACTCAATCTGAACCACTTGAAGAAGTGGGATTCTGTTTTTCTACAGTAAACCTGATAACCCACCAGGTTAGAAAACATGAACTCCACTTTATTATCCATTTTAAGCGGTAGTATTTTATACATGTATGTTAATATGAATTAAGAACATCTTGTTGAAATAATCTGATAGTTTTTTTGCTTGTTTGCATTTATCCGTTCCCACTACAAAGGAATTAGGTATTCCATTGGATCTAAAGGTCTGATGTCTAATCGAGGAATGCTAACTTTGGCACAGTATTCAAACACTTTTTGTGATGTCTAGTATTTTGTTCTGAATTTTATGGTATCCTGTCTTCAGTTTAATAACTGGGATCTCTACAGATGAATGCCTAAATCATTTCTTTTTCCTTCATAACGTTTTATATGACTATGGGTTTGTGTTCAAGGTGAAAGTGGATCGGTACTTGTACATTTTGTGCTACGGCACATTTGAGCGTACTTCTGAACAGCTTACTATTGAAACGGTCGAATAAACTAGTAGCTGCAGGCTTCTTCAGAGTAATATGAGTATTAGAAAATTAATACTCATTCTTTACTATTCTCCCAAAGTATTTTTTAACGCGGTCATCAGTTAGGACTACGGTTTACAACTCCGTTTATTACTGTTATCCGTGGACTGAATAGTGTACTGTAACGTCACACCTGCATGCACCCCTGTAGTAGTATACGGCATTACCAACTAACATCTTGGCAACATTGACTGCCTGTACCACATTTCAAAAATAACCTTCATTTTTAATTTGACAGGTACAAAGCATATTTTTAAAAATGAAACTGTATCTAATTATCTGTTATCTGCAACAGATTTTCACATGTACCAGACTACATGAGCTACACTTATTGTGTGTGTGTGTGTGAACTAATGATACTACCCAGTTTTCCAGGATGAGGTAGGTGAAGTGGGATTCGAACTCAGAACCCAACAGCTAAAAGTCAAATGCTTAAGCCAATGAGCTATATTATATCACCACGAGAGTGTATGTATGCTGATATCTAGAGCATGCTATTGGTGAAATAACTGTCCAATAAAATATGTTCCCCATATTGAGCGTTTATTTAGTCTGCAAAATTTGTCTTTGCCCTTAATAATTTGTCTGAACTGATGGAGATATGAACCCAGTATCTCATTTTACGTGGATGTGTCTATTCTGTGCCATATAATTTCATTTAATTAATTACTGGTCATTATATTTTCTTCTGTGATGAAGTGGTAAAGACAATCGTGTCTTATAATACCTTAATTTATTTCTGATTCTGCTTTTTTATGGTAATAACTTTCCTCTGACTGTCTATTGCAACTTTATTTACTACTTTATAGGACTGTGCTGGAACACTCAATTTCAGTGGAAGCATTTTCCCTTATTGCAATGTCAGCAATAAGCATGTGCAAACAAACTGCATATCAGGTACACCAAAATTATGTTTGATCATTGAATTCTAAGGATTTTTTATTTTTCGCTAAATTTGAAGTATTATTTCGGCCGTTTTGTTGTATCTTTTGCTCGTGTTTAACATACCGAGATGAATTCCCTTATACAATAAGAATGCTAAGAATGAATCGTGTTTTGTGTTTCGTTGACTGCAACCCATGCAGATCAACTGGTCTTGGTCTAAAAGGTGTCTAATAAGTTTCCAGTTATGCATATTGTGAAAGATAAAGAAACAGTGATTTCACGATACTAGCGTCACCAAAGTTGGATAATACCTCTTGTGCACTTACGATTGAATCTAGGGGATTCCTCCTTTCCACTGAATATTATAAGCAGACTTAACTGTGAACTTCTCCTACTAAACTTTTAGAATTCTTGTTATATACTTTGGCAGTATCAGTGAGTGCTATATTTGGGAAGTTTTAAATTTTTCGACCACTACCTGACACCAGTTAAAGAACCATAGGAAAACCAGAGGGTTCTGGACAGCTGTTTCGTCCTATTTTGGGACTGCAGGAGTGCTTACCCACTGGGTTCAAACCCAGGGCCTTCCAGTTGCAAAGTGAGCCCGCAAACCATTCAGTCACTGGGACCCCATGCACTAGCCCATGAATTCCACCTTCTGTCAATTCGCGATATATTTCGCTAAACCGCCAGCCAATATCATCGGCGAGTATCTGTCCTCTTACCTAACTTGGTGTCACAACTGCCTACTGGAAATCCAGGTAACTTTCTGCATACGGCTAGTCGCTAGTGAGCATCAGATTAATTTTTAAGTGTTGGTTTCCAGGGATTTAATTTTTTACACGTATGATCACGAGGTGACATCAGTTAGCGAATCAAATTAGGACGAAACAGCTGTCCAGCATTCCCTAGTTTTCCAGTGGTTCTCTAATTAATATCACCTCATGATAATCAAACCTGTAATCAATCAAACCCCTGCAAACCAACACTTGAAAATTAAGTTTTTGAGCCTACGTTTTGTGACATCTTTGAAAGTATCCACTTGATAAACATATTAACATAAGAACTGATAAAGGTGCATATCTTTAATCTCACACTTCCCTATATTTACATTGGTGTGTTGAACAGTAGTAAAGTAATATTCAAACAAGCGAAGATGACTAAAACAGTGGATTAAATGCTATTGAGCGTTGAGAATTTTGAATGATATTATGACTATATATGTCTGACTTGACTTATTGTATTGTACGTCTTAAAGACTAGTTGTAAAAAAGTTAGCTGTTAATACTTTACATCAACAAATTCACCAAGTAGAAATAATAGTAACAAGTAGTTACAGCGTCGATCGAGAGGTGATTTGGCAACTACGTCGCTACTACCAACAATTATACATCTCATCCAACAGTTGTACGACAATGCTGCATGCCAAGTAATCCTCAACCGGAAACTCACGGAATCCTTCGAAGTGAAGACGGGAGTAAGACAAGCTGGCTGCCTACTATCTCCAATCATTTTCCTGATCGCGGTAGGCTAGATAATGCGACAGACAACGGGCAGTTAGGAAACAGGCATAAAGTGGACCCACACACAAAAAACTTGGAGGATCTGGACCTCGCCGATGATATGCAAGTGAAAAGCAACAAGTTGATAGAAGAAGCATCAAACATAGGACTTCAGGTGAACGTAGAGAAAACAGAGGTGATGAAGATTCCTGGCCTACAGCAACAGCAACAATCAGCATAAATGGGAGAAATCTGAAAGAAGCAACATCCTTTACCTACCTACCTGGGAAGCATCGTTTCAACTACAGGCGGATGGAACTGATGAGGATATCAAAGCGAGGATTGGGAAAGCAAGGAAAGCTTTCATTTCTCTCAAGTCTGTATGAAGGTCAACAGCATTCAGCATGAAAAATAAGATGTGGATTTTCAATTCCAATGTGAAGTCAGTGCTACTTGCAATACGGATCAGAGACTCGGCGCCGCGTCACGAAGGGCACACTTCGAACAAACTACATTCATCAACAGCTGTCTTCGCTCAGTACTCAAGATCAGATGGCCAGAAAAGATCAGCACTGGCGAGGGATCTCCGGGAGCGAACCAACCCAGCAGGAACCGATTGTGAAACAAATTTGCAGGAAGAAGTGGAGGTGGATGGGTCGTACTCTAAGGAAATCATCAAGTGACATCACAAGACAGGCCCTCTAGTGGAACCCGAACGGGAAGAGGTGAGTTGGTCATCAGTGTGAGGGTGACATGGAGGAGGTGACGTAAAGAGGAGATGAAAGCATGTGGGCAGACGCAGAGCCAGGTGAAGACTCCGGCAGAAAACCGAACGCAATGGAGACGCGCGGCTGAAGCCCTATGTTCTTCTAGGAACTAAAGGAAACAATAATAATAATAGTTACAAATATTCTTCCTTGTTGTTATGAAAAGGGTAGAAATAGTCGAGTTTAGTACAGTTTTCATGTCCGTTGTGAGGTCGAATATTATGTGCATACATGGATTCGTGTGTTGTTAAATGCACAATAGATATTGACTTAACCTGAAATGAATGCTAATTAGCTTCATCGGTAAGTGTAGTTGTATAGTGATAACTCAGCTAGAAATGAGGTATAAAGAAAATTGTCATTCAAATGCATTGGGTATTTCACGTTACCACATAGTTTTATATATGTTTCTAGTTAGTCATATTGTATTTTCCTGAAGTTTCCAGACTCAAACCTTTCCTACAGTTTAGGCATTTTTATGTAATTTTAGGACGTACTTTTCGTTATGATAAAAGTACTGACTTATCTTGTTCTTGTTTGTTCCAGGGTCGAGAAGCTCTAGACTGGGTTATCAGCCATCGGCTTCCGACTATTCAGTCATCCCGTAGCAGTCAGTATCATGATTCGATTCCCGCTGATAGCACTGACTCGTCCTATTCAGATTCCTTACCATCATCATCAAACTCATTTGCTGCTGGACATTCGGACTCACCTTTTCAAAAATTTGAACAAGTTGCAGCAAGTTCACCATCCACCAAATCTTGTGGTTCATCATTCTTCACTGAAATTTCCAGACAGAACTCCACCAATACAAAGTTTGCTCAAGATATTCCTCTGTTACCTCAGCCCGAATCTTTGGGATCAAGATTAGAAACATTTTCCCGTGATGTATCAGTTATTACCGATAATTTAGTTAAACGTTCACAACGTGTAGCACATCTTTTCTCTCGAATCGACGAGTATGTAGTTATTCTTTAAATGAGTTTCTAGTTTATCTTTCTTATATTTCTAACTACTTTCTATACCGCTATACTTTCAGTTGTTATTTTTGTGTGTGTGTGTGTGTAGAACAAACAATAGTATTCTAATCGCATTTCAACTCTTAACACAATCTGTTCATATTAAACTTAATGATCTCCATCTATTTCAATTGAATGAGAATTTTGCTGCTTGTGTTTTATCTTGATGAATAGAGTTGGTGTCACCTGGAAAATGATGTACACAGATTTCAGTGTATGATAGTTGAAGCTATAAATTCATATTTCCCTATCATCTGAATTATTTGGAATAGTTTCAGTTCCATTATTGATGGTTAATTCATGCGAATTCAGAGTTTAAATTGTACCCCCCCCCCCCCCGCGCCTACTTTGGCTGAAGCGACAAGATAATATTACAAGATCTTTTCGTATATAGCCTACAATGTAGTAATTCTGTACCGGTTAATTGATTTGAATTGATTCATTTTCATGTTTTTATTTATTTATTTGGTTGGTTGGTTGGCTGGGATTTGATAAGCTTCAGTGTAGATTTATTCATGAACGGACACTATTTTAGAAACCACTGAAAACCAATGAGCACTATTCTACTACATTGGGACTCTTCAGTACTGGACTCATGATTCCACCTAGGATCGGACACAAGGCCCTTAAATTACGATCTGAGCACATCCTCCATTCAGTCGCTGTCTGTCTGTTTTCGATATAGAACTTTGCACCGATGCCCAGCGGTTCAAGTCGCCACACTCCATGTGCGTCGGTGGCACAGTGGTTAGGACGCTCGCCGACCGTGCTCATGGTCCGGTCCCCTGCCGACGCACACCTGATATCAATGGTTGGCCTGCAAAATTTGGGCTACCGATATCACATGCTGAAAATTCCATACCTGTACCAAAAGTACCGTGTGGTTTCAAGCTATAATCAAAATAAAAAAAATAAATAAAGCAAGAGAAGAAAGTAGAAGAAATGCAAAATAGAGACAGTAGACAGGGATATGAGACAAAAGGAATAGTAATAACGAAGAACAATATAGTTTCATTGGAAATTATAAGTCACAAGGAGTGGATGCATCTGCGCCAACCATTGAGGACGATTTTGAGCCATATCACCGATTGTCTACAGCCGTCATTGGTTTTTACCATCCCGAGGACCCCAACGAGGAAGTCTACACCTTCTTATGTGGCTGGCTTAAACTAACTTGTGGATTTCATTGAGTTAGGATCCAGTGGCCCTTGAATTCTGTCCTTTGTCGACTCGCGATATAACATCACTGTCAACAATGAGTAATCGGTTCTCACGCAACACAATGATGAATTCCACTGACCGCTAATTTCAAGATACTAAATCGTGAAACCAATCACCAATGAGTCAGACATTAATATTCATATATTTTGGGTTTGAAGGGTTTTGGTTAATTTCAGTGTAGACCTCATCAACAGTTCTCGTACCGATATTGATTGGTGAGCACGTATAAATTGAAAAATGGATATCTGATGGTTCACCTAATCGCTATATCATCAGGTTACAAAATGCAAAGAAAAAAAACAATTTCAACTATTTTGGATAGAACACAAAACATATATATATATCATATATGCATGTTTAAGGTTATTATCCTTTTCGTTACTAACCGTTTGAGCAATAGTTTTATTACTAAATACGATTTTTAGTATAAAGCATAGTCAGAGCAATCAATATTTGACCTAATTGACAGAATCATGAATGCAATTTCGAATATTGTCACTATAATTAGCTGTGATTTCATTTTTAATACAGTTTACAATTCAGTCCTAATTTGGCGCTTCATTTTCTGCCTCGTTACATCCCTCATAAGTGGTTGTTAATTATGTAGGACAGTAAGCTGTTAGTCCTGCACATTTTCTGTAGCTGCTGTGTGTCCTTATCTAGTATGTGGATCCTAAATTATGTATTCTGTAACGAAATACAAGCTGAAGTATTTATGTAAGCTGTGGTGTTTGTGAAAACTCTACGCTTCTACGAAAATTAAACAGTATAGCTGTATAAACACTTCTGTTTTATTATGAGAAGTTTTATTTTCTGCACACCGCAATCGCAGATAAGTGACTCAGAGATCCGTTGTTGATGAAGAGCTTGTTTGTATAAGTAAGCTGGGTTGGAAAGGTTTTCATTGCTACAATAGCGTCCCAAATAACGAAGTTTGTATGCTCTCCGGTTGTATAATTCTTAGTTTATGACTAAGTACTTTCTGAGCTTTATATGTTATAAGCAGACGCCATAGAGAATTAGACTTTGTGATAATAACTCGTAATATATATGTGAAGTTGAGTCTAAATCACCTCCAAATAGATTTTAATTCGAATGAGCTATGTCTTATTCGACTAGCATAAATTTGACATGCATCTGTACTGTTTTTTTTTAAAGTTTTACTCTTGTCACTTGTAAAAAGTTATTAAAAAATCAAATAGTATTTTTAAAATAGGACAAACACGTATGTTGTGTAAGGTGAAACCATAGACTGAAAACTGTAAGTGTTAAGAATATTGTATTTTTACTCGAATCTAATGGTTACTTTTAGAGTTGTGGCTCATTAGCTTAGGCACTCAACTTTTAACCATTGTACTTAAGGGTCATATACCGCTCTACGCCTACGAAACCTGGCTTCTCTGAGCTGAAGATGTACGGCAACTCTGCGTGTTGGATCATCGCTGCTTGTGTCCGACGGTGTCATCGTATAAATAATTCTGAGGTCCGGCAGCGTGTGTTTGGACACGGTGGAGTTCATTGATGTGGTCATTTCGAAATATCTGATTCAGCAGCTTGGACATGTGCCACGAATGTCATTTCATACCGTCTGCAGTCCGTCAGACCTGAGATTGAATAGAAAAGAGGTGGTTAGCCTGTGACACGGAGCAGTGAGATGAAGAATATCTGTGTTAGGTTAGCATCTGTTGGTAAACAATGACTCCTTGGATGATATCCGAGGAATTCTTCGAATCAGTGTTTCGAAACGTTATCAGATTTGGCCAAGAATCGCAATCAGTGGCGCGAACATGTTGCAATTTCCTGCTTTCCTTCCTTTCTGAAAGTAACATAAAGTGACTGATTATAAAGGATCTTGACAAGGGTGCCTACTGGATGGTCTTTTTCATTTATTCTGTCCTTACTTTTCCCTATATATTGTTGTTTTATTATTTTTGTGCGGTGCATTTCTTGGTGCCCATAATGTACTAAGTTTGTATCTTTAATAATTCATAGTAACTAAATACTTAAACCTATGGGACTGAGTAGTACCGTCAGGTCTGCATTCAATGGGTGTGTGGCTTTTATACCCTGGTAGATGAAAAACATATTTTGGAGGTTACGGAGTTCTAATCGGCGCTAAATAACCATTCATTCAGTGTTATTTCTGTCTATGCAAATCCACTCTTACTAAGTCGAGGTTGGGACAACAGACTGAAGAGTAATTTAATACAATTATTCCCCCTGATAAACCTCAACGAAGGAAGAAAAACACACTGTGGGAAGGATAAAATGACATCATTATATTTTTATTGGTCCTTGTCAGCTTCATACAAACATGACGAGCTTCATATCAATATACAGATGCTGACAAAATGTAGAGTCTTCTGAACACCTTGAGCAGCAATCTTCGTGTGTTTGGCATGAGATTCGCCCCTGTAAAATGCAAGATGCTGCTACAGGACTGACTGGACTACGTCAACTCCTAGCTTAGTGATAGGGAGTGAAGTGATAGAACATGTTGACCACTTCACCTATTTGGGAAGTTGTATCAGCACCAACGGACTCATTGGCGACGAAATCTCAGCACGGATCCAAAAAGCTCGAGCTGCTTTCACTAACTTGCACCATCTCTGGCGTAGGCGTGACATCCGGCTATCAACCAAGGGACGTGTGTACTGCTCAGCAGTTCGCTCCGTCCTTCTCTATGGCTCTGAAACATGGCCAATACGAGTTGAAGACATGAAAAAGTTGACTGTTTTTGATCATAGATGTTTACGATCTCTTTCTCACGTTAGGTGGCATAATAAAGTAAGTAATGTTGACGTTAGGCGTAGAGTGTTGGGCAAAGAGGGAAAATCAATCGAAGAGGCTATAAAGTTACATAGATTGAGATGGCTAGGTCACGTGCTGCGCATGCCTAACCATCGCCTCCCCCGACGGACGGCCATTACTAGCTGATATAGGTGCAGGTTGGTTGGAAAAGAGTAAGTGGTGGCCAAACAAAAACATGGCATCAATCCATGAAATCCCTGACAGTTAAACTGAGTCAGGTAGGGAGATGCAGACTTCCGGGTTGGGGCCCGCCCTCGGGACTCTAAGAATCAATGGCTGGAGACAATAGGTGACATGGCTCAAAATCGTTGTCAATGGCCTACGCAGATGTATTCAGTCTCTGTAATCTTTCATATTCCTTTCTACCATTACTCATTCTGTTTCACTCTTATACTTGTCAAAACTCTATTGATTCTCTTCACTCATCTTCTTGTCTACCTTTGTGTGCTATTTGGAACGTGGCAACTCGAACTGGTGCACTTCGGTGCCAAGTTCTATGTTGATTCCAGACAGACAGAGAGATATCAATATACAAAATATTCAGATACTTTATTGATCTTAAAAGCAAAGGATATTAATATCACATGACTGAATAGTATAATATAAAGGAATAAAAGTCCTTGTTAAGCTCGTTATTATGTATACAAATAATTAAGAATGAACGTTGTAAATTGAATCGAGACGTGAAATCAATAATACTCACAGGTAAGGGTCAAATAAATCAGTTGAACAAAGGTGAAAATAGGTTTGATTAGAAATTCAAATGAAAACAAAATTAGGGTAGGAAATTAGATTTTCATAACAAAATATAATTTAAAAAAACAAAGATACAATTAAATAACATAAAGAATATATATTTATCAAGGTAAAATAGGTTTAACAAGGCTTTCCTTCTGGATTTATAAATTCGGTCTTAATCGTTTAATGGCAATCGCTTCAGTGATACGTAGCAGTAGTCTAGAGCTTTCTTGAGCTTTAATTATCTTGAATGCATCGATTCCATAAACGCTGTCTGACCGGTGGCGAGCAGCTGCACTTTTCAGATGCAAGTTTCTTGGAGTATGCTCAGATATGTGGTCACAAATCCTTCTTTCTGTCCGTCCTTCAACTTTATGTCTGCACCAAACAAACGACTAGACTCATGATGCTAGTTACTTACTCCCTAGTGTTCGATCAAAGTTTCTCATACAGTCACACAGGAGGTCAATCACGAGCCCAAGTAGCTCAGTGGTAATGTCTCTGACTGCAGCAATGGGTGGTGACACAGGTTCAGATCTCAGAGGGGACATGAGCTCCTTCAAGGTTGCAAATACTCCTTGCTGACGAGCGCCAACTAGCACGAAACCTAGGTCCAAGGCTTCCTTCCGATTGCCTCCAACCATATAATGACAACAATTCAGGGTGCATCGTGATAGGCAATTATATTAGCATATCTCTCTCTTGAAGTGGCGCCACTTTTATCCGTTGATTATTATAGGGCTTCAATAAGTTGACCAAAATATACCAGCATAATTTCATGAAACATCAATAATATAAGTCTAATTTTCGAACCTACTGCTTCCTTTAATCCATTACACTGCGCAGATTTCAGTGCAACGTAGTTCAAGAATATAATTCCAACTATAATATATACACGGACTTGTCATAGGAATAATTATGAAATTAATAAAGAGGTGAGAAAATAAACTTAGGTCAAGTTAAAAGGACATATTCAAGGTCAAAATAACAATGAAGACCACTAAACCAATTTGAATGTACGTGTGGACACACATACATAGAGAGGACTTATCGATCTCTGCAAGTAAGGGCTTCAGAGCATATTCCTAATTGGCTCCAGAAACAAATGGAATCTTCAGAATTCATTAATGGTGAGAACAGGAGACCTAGCTCTTCTATTGCGAAACATATTATAGAGACAGGACATAAAATTGACGTTGACACATCTTTTGAACCTATCTATAAAACGTGTTTGGGGCGTATCCTAAAGTTTGTGGAAGCCCTAGCAATTAGAAAGTTTAAGCCACCTTTATGTGTTCAAAAACAATTCGTCATCACATTAAACCTTCCTTGGCAAACTTTTTGATAGCAGCCAGGGTAGATGTACTATTACCTCTGTTATTTGCTTTAGTGGTCTTTATTGTTATTTTGACCTTGAATATGTCCTTTAAACTTGACCTAAGTCTATTTTCTCACCTCTTAACTCTATTAATTTCACATATATTCCTATGACAAATCCGTGTGTGATCAGATTGTTCGAAAGAAGTGTTGCGCAAATACATTACATGATTCGTACAAATTACGTCTTCTTATTGCTTTATCTAAATTCATAAACGGAACTAATTGTTTTAAATTAGATAATATATACGCCAGAACAAGATTTCAATGCCAAATCTCATTTAGAAAGCATAAAAAAATGTAACTTGTCATTAAACCACCATAGCAACGGACTACGATATGGGGATATGCAATAAAGTCACTCCATCGTGTTGTTGCCTAGCCATCTAGAATGGTGGCCACATGTCAAAATTGACTGACAGAATTCAGTTTACACCAAACAAAAACTAGACGCATGAAACTCATTACTTACTACCCAGTGTTCGATCATAATAACTGAGTTATTTTAATATTTTTCCATATCGATATTAAATTCTTAATGGTTGTACGAAGTATGATGACGTTATTTTGTCCTGCTCAGTATGTTGTTCTTGCTCTGAAAGGTAGTGTAGCGGTAAATAATTCTCCAAAATTATTGACCACAGCAATCATCACTGAACATTGGATGCTGACCCTCACTGTTTAAGTTGACTTGTTTAGCTGAAGGCTTCCGGTCAAACATCCATGCCATTTGGTACTCCGTCGTGTCACCTTCGTGCATGATCACTAGCTAATTAAGCATTCATCATGGTTTACTATTTAGTCCCGAAATATATCTCGTACTTTGGACGATCATTTGTGGTGTTTTGCTTTGTCTTTGGTATATGAAGAAGGAATGCTATAGAAGTTGCTGGTGTAAGATCTTGCGTTAGTATATTCCGTATATGTTGGCGTCATAAGTACGGCTTATGAAGATGAAATAAATAGATCACAAGTCACACCTCCTAGAAGGACTGTTTTATGTAACTTTTTACAAGTGATTGTAGATCCTTATTTGTTGAAAAAGTAGTAAGTATATCGATAAGTCTGTGCTTTGAAATGAACCCATTGTCTGGGTTTATAAAATGGATGTATGAAGCTAGTGCGTCGGTGGTATAGCGGTTAGGACGCTCGTCGACCATGCACATGGTCCGGGGCTCGATCCCCGGCCGACGCACTCCTTTACCTCGCTGAGCCAGAAATAATGCTGGTGAAGAGGAAAGGTTGGGCATGAGGCTAGCAACCCCTCCTGTAAAATAAACACTACTACAGAAACTTCAAGCCACTAGCTTGAAGCCCTGTGTTCCACTGGGGAACGCGAAGGGAAAAAAATGAAGCTGGTTCCTTATTCGCTTTTGGTTTATGCAACTTTTCACTGAAATGACAATCCCACTGTTTTGTAAACTAACTGCTGAATCCACAACACATTCGCTGATCGTTCGAAGTCCTTAATAACTGTATGCTATTAAGAACTACAATAAATTGTACTATCAGAGGGTGATAGGAGAGAACTAAAACTCGCGAACAATCTCTTAAAAGGTCCTCAAATCTTGACTATCGTTTTAGTCTATATCACAGAGAGGTGAGTACAGTTCAGCATACCTTGTTAAATGCAGGTTTCTGCTTGGAGATTTCATTTTTGGACTTTCTTTACGTAGATTCCTCGTTATTTGAAGCGTTTTGAGCAGTTAAAATTTTAATCTATTCATAAGTTAGTTCGAATGAAATATTTTTGAAGAAGTAATTTATGACGGTATGATGTGGAGTATATTGTGTTACCGGCGTCCAGTAGCTGCCATATTTCTCGACCTGAAGGCGGCATTTCACTTCGTCGATTGAGAGGTGCTGTGACAGTGTTTGACCATGAAGGAAGGAGTGGCGAGAATCTATATCACACTAATCAAGGCACTCTACTCGAACTCACACTGCCGTGTAAGAGCTCACGGAGAGTTGTCATCTGAAGTGATGATAACCAGTGGGCCTTTTTCTTACGTTTGTGTACTATATGGAGTGTAGCACCTTAAGATGTTACGCGCTTTTGTGCTAAGTTCTAGTTTTGAAATTCAGTCAGCCAGTGTGACATCTGATCTCCATACTCACATTTCCTTCCTACAAATCTCTGAATATATATTGATTAAATCTAACCAAGTCATTTAGTGAGAATTTTTTCTCCTCTTAAGTTTCTACTTTTCTCTAGACCACTTTTGGTATTCATACAAGACATGATACAATGAAAAGAAAATTTACAGAATCAAAAATTTATTAAACTTTTTATCTGATTGTCTTGTTATACATAGAATGCAGCTGAAGTATAAATCTTGTCTGTCCATTAATGTGTAGTTGTATTCAGTGGAGCTTTTGTTATGTCTTCTGGTTTTCTTTTTGCACTGGGAATAGGAATACTCTGATTTCCTGTGTTCTGTAGATACAATACTTTTGATACTGAAAGGGTTTAAGAAAAAGCATAAAATATTGAGTTGTTTCAGTCTGCATCATAGCCTAATACATAAAAATGTTATGTAGGTTATCTAATCTGATTTACATGAATAATAATATATAACTAAGAGGTCGTTCGTTGAAGTGGGAGGGGAAGTTTGTAGCTCAGATGGATGATTTTGATTTGGTTGTGTTCTCTGAGCTAATTTGTGGTTTAATAGCGAACCTTTCATTGTCTTTCTAGACAACATCTTCAGCGCAAACTTCAATATGAAGTTTGAACGTATTTAAATTCCCCATGAATGATATAAACAATTGTATCCCCTGACAACAACCTTTGTGATGATTGGGGCAAAGTTAAACTTTAAGCACCACTAACTACCAATCAGCAAATGGCCTCGAAAGCACCAATCACGTGAAGGAGGCATTTTTGTGTATGGAATACATATATTTATGAAAAAATTGCATAAAAACTGTATAAAAGTGTTACAGAGGATAGCTTCCTCTCACATGGAATAAAAATGGTTCTCAGTTTTAGGTTGGTCTATCAACAGAGTATAATTTCTTTGTGGGTAAAATTTATTTTGATGAAGTTTCATAGTGTTACACAGTAATATTTACTGAGCAATAATTTATGCTCAAAACGTGGTCATCAGTAAATATTACTGTATAACACTGTGAGACTTTATCAAAATAAATTTTACCCACAATGAAATTAAACTATACCACAGTGCACAAGTTCTATTCTTATATCAACAGAGAAATTTAATCATATTCTATGCATGTAGTTATTCAGGTCTTCTAACCCTAACAACAACCCTAATTTTTCCTGAACCTAACCCTAACGTGAAAATATCCCTAAACTAACTGTAATCTAACTCGAACCAAACTTACTGTCGCCTTTGTTAGATTAACCTAACCCTAACTAGTCCTTGGCTTAAAGAGTAACTTAATCTTTCTCAAACCTAAGCTGAAACTTGCCAGATATCCTATTCAATAACATAATACTTCGATGAGCATATTTTATTGATGATGACATTATTATTTGCCGGATTCCAATAACTTGCTCAGTGAGCTTTTCAAGGTCATTGGTGTGGTCGCACTCCATTGGTAGTTAGTGGTGCTCAAAGTTTAACTTGGCCATGATTGTTTGTCAATTTGTATCAGTATTCACTGTGTTTTTTTTACCAGCTTGGGAATTGACTCTTTTTTTGTCAAATGGCTTTTTCTTTATTACTTGATAAATCTGATCTGTGTCTGTTAATCACTGATTCGTTTGACTATCTGACTTCTAGAAATTCCTTGGCATTTTTGGTGTTTCCACTGTTTTTAAAATTTCCACAATTCTCCCGTTCAGATTGGTGTCCGTAATTGTCTACATGCATTGATATGAAAGAATATGTATCGTGTTTTTTGATAGCTAATGTATCTTCTTGGACGCTCACTTTGACCAATGTAGTGTTTATTGCAGTCTATGTAATTTATGGAGGTGGACTGGTCATACATTCAGAAAATCATCAAGTGGAATCACTCCCCGGGCTCTCTCTCCCGAGTGGAACCCTAGTGGGAAGCGACGAGTTGGTCGTCCTAGGGTGACAGAGAGGAGGTCATGCAAAGATGAGATGAAAGCATGTGAGCAGATGTAGAGCCAGGTGAAAACCTTTGGCGGAGAACCGAACGCAATGGAGATGTGCAGCTGAAGCCCTATGCTCCTCTAGGAACTAAAGGAGATAATAATGATAATTTTGTAAATGGTATTGATCTTAACTTCTTTTATAGTTGGATTCTTTGATCTGCCCACAATATTGAATGAAACGATTGTGGAAAAACACTAGAAATTCCAGGGAATTTCTACACGCCTGGTAGCACTCACATGAATCTGCGATAAAATTTGCTATCTAATAAAAAGTAAATCACATGACAAGAAAGTTCAAATTCCAGGTCAATAAAGACGATCAATAAAAATGCAAATTAACAACCAATCACGACAAATGGTTGTTAGGAGATACCATTCATACAGAATTCAAACAAGTTCACTTTATATTTAAAGCTTGCACTGAAGATGTTGTCTAGAAAGACGCTGAAAGCTTCTCAATTAAATCAACCAGGTCAGAGAACACAACCAAATCAAAGATCGTTCGTTGCTGTATGAAACATAAAATGACTTTTTAAAGCTGCCAGTAAGATTGTATCTTATGAAAACAATAGTAGTACATTTTTCAAAGGTGACACAGTGAAGACAACTGTGTTCACTAAACACTCTCACGCCTCTTGATCAATTGATCTGATTGAAGCTTTGACACTAGTCCACCAACTTGAAATGAGGTTGAGAAAGCTGTCCTAAACCAAACAAAACACTACAGTACGTTCTGCCAGTTTGTCTCCAAAAATCACGAATCTTCGTCCTCTCGATAGTATATGGCGAAAACAAGTCACCTTATCGTCAGCATAAAATAGACCTTTCATAATATATTTTCTGAAATATCTGTGTTCCTGCTTATCCTGCATCTGGCTAGAGATTTGAAATAGCTAGCAACCCCACCCTGTAAACAAACCTGCTACAGAAACTTCAGCACAAAATAAAAATGAATAGTTGTTATTTCCAGAACTAGATTGGTTTAAGATCTCACCTAGATATTTCTGAAAAACAAAATTTCCATTACTCATCTCTTTGTTTTATTGAGGGTTGTATTATGGAGGTTTATAGGTCCCACAACACAGCATTCATATGGTGAAAATGTAATTCCAGCCATAAATGACTGTATGGAAATTTACAATGAAAATGGCTAATTAATATTACGATTATAGATGCTTCAGAAGGTAAGACTCTCTATCTGAATTACTATTTTGTGATTCAGTGAACCCGATATCTGATTGCCAAAAAGCGATTGAATTAATGAATACACATTCACTATGCTGAGAACTATATTTTCTTCATATAACGCCAGGCAACAATGTCCTTAGGTTGAACAGGGTTCGGAACTAAGCATATGCCAGTAATACACCTCTCTACTGTGTGTACAAATCTATCTGTAGGGCTGTTTGAGTGAAAAGAAAATGTATATGCTTCCTCTACATTGGTAAAAATACAGAGTTTCTTGGTATCAGTTTCTTGGCGTAGATTGAGTAATGACATATAAGCGACTCACTTAGCCTTTGTTAACCTAAATCATTTCAATTATGAAACAAAGGAATCTAATTAAGTGGACTATATTAAGTCTTGTCATATTATTTTTTTAAGTAAATCATCTGTCTACATAATACCGTAAGTACTTTAATCACCTATTTCTTATTATTGATGGTTCAGACACATTAAACAGAAAATTATTTTCTAGCTAACTTCTAAGGTTTTTTTTCAACCTTAATCTGTATTATCTCGGTTGATGATGACTAACAGTGGAATCCAGGATGCTCATTTCGTCCTACTTGGGATTCATCATCTGGACGCTCCCGCACTCCTAGTGAATGATCATGTGTACACTGAGGAGACTCAAACCATGCACCCATCATTTCAACTGTCAAAGCATTTTCCATGACAACTACCGCTTGTACAACGCGGTACCAGTTATTGTCAACAGAGACCGCGTATTTTGACCTAATATAATCAATGGAAGGGCAATGCCAATTAACCTGAAAATGAATTTATATTCGTTAAAACATCTGCACGCATTGAGAATTACTACTGCCTACTAATCTCATCCCTTTTGTAATAGAGCATTATATTGTGGAGCTGTGACTCATTGGGTCATAGGTCCGAACCCTACTCCGCGGACCTGGATAGTATAACCATTCTTCATACAGTAGGTGTGGCTCATCGTCCATTGCATGGGAGTGGAAATGGTTGTTGAGTAATGTTGTGTTTAAGGGCATTTTCTTGATTACTGGATAGTAATCTGTCAGTTGGAAATTATTCTTTGTAAACAGCTATTTTGATACCTAGAATATCATATTTCGATTTTAATAAGCTGTCTATGTAGGTCATCTTAACGTCAATGATACTAGAATTACATAGTGATAAGTTCACAGTGAAAAGTATAACTTTATGAGAGTGCTTCTTTGTATATCTATGAAATGAAACGAACAAATGTAGCAACACAAAAATAAAGATAAGTATTTTTGTATTCCTTTGCGTTCCGAGTGGAACATAGTTCTTCAAGCGTCGGAGGCACAGTGGACAGGACTCTCGCCGACCATGCACATGGTCCGGGGTTCGATCCCCCGCCGACGCACACCTGATATCTAAAGTCGGCCTGCAGAATTTGGGCTACCGATATCACACGCTGAAAATTCCACACCTGTACCAAGAAATACGGTGTGGAATCAAGCTGTAATCAAAAATAATAAAAAGCTGGCGCTTTGAAGTTTCAGTAGCAGTGGTGTTTAGTTTCACGTGGTGGGATTGCTAGTCTCACGCCCAACCTTCCTTCTTTACAGGACTTATTGCCGGTTTACTCAGGTTAAGGAGTGCATCAGCCGGGGATCGAACTCCGGACCACGTCTGTGGCTGGCGAGTATTCTACCTCTGCGCCGCCGACGTCCACAAAAATAAGTATATAAAATGTTATCATCTTACCAGGTGCTGTAGTCATTTCCAGCAGTTGACATCCAACAGGTTCTGGAGGACGTGAATTTACCATTGGCAGTATTCCACTTTTCTGAAATGATAAGCAATCCAGTTAATTAATCTGACTTTTGTTATTTTTAAATATTCTTAATCATTTATAAATGGATTAACCTATGGTGCAACCAATACTTTTATAAGAATGAAAGTTTTTACGCCGGTAATTCATCAAAATTATTAGCATATAGCATTTATGATCATACTCATTATTGGGTATTACTGACTTTCACCGTTTTAGTCAATTGGTTAAGTTAAAGGGACGCTGTCTTGTTACATCCTATTGTGAATGTACAATATATAGTCAGTGTATAGCAGCAAATAATTCCCCGAAACGATTGGATTCTGACCTTCACCGTTTAAGTTGACTGGTTAAGCTGAAGGTATGCGGTTGAGCATCCTCGCCATTTGACACTTGGTTGTGTTACGTTTGGTTGTTCGTGCAAGCAGTCTAGGTAGCGAAGCAGACGTCACCGATCCACATTTCTGATCCTGAAGTATATTTCGTATTTTTTCGGAAGATCAGTTTATTGTTTTGACTTGGTTTTTTTTTAAACAGTTTTCTGGTCTAAGTAGGATAGGTACACTGAGAGTTGGAGAATTAGCATTTCAATTTAATTGAAAATTCCCATTAAAATTTTAAAAGACTGATTAGTGAACAAAGAATATGCTTTTGGATAAATTCGTCGTCAGGTTCTACATTCAGATGAGAGTAATAATCAAAGAAGTTTTTGTATTAAGAACATCAATCTTGTCCTAAGTTACATTGTATCAGTAGTCAGTGTCAACAGATCACATTTGAAAAACATCAATAAGACAGAGATTATATGCATCACATATAACACTAAACTAACTATCATATAAATTAAGGAGAAGAATAACAGGGAATTTAAGGATTTATAGATTCGACAGCAAGCCAGGGTAGCAACAGTGACTGGCTGGACCGTTTTTTGCACACAGAGCTCCTGTTGATTTAAGCGAATTGCGATGGCCCCTGCTATTTGAAGTGATCGTCATCTACAGACCTTTAGAAACTTATTTCATACCTGACAGATTATAGAGAAAGACTGTTTAATGGTAGCTTTGTGACCTCCTTGAGCGAGGTGGTCCAATGTAGATTTGTTGATGGTTTTAACAACACTTTTATTTAACCACACAGGTAGGCGTTTTTGAGCACGAAAAATAAGGTTCCTAGAGCAATGGTTAATGTGACTGGTTCCACAGAAGCAGCCAAATTGATAGATACAATCAGAAATGGTCAGACTAAATACTTCATCTTTTAGTTTCGAGGTCGCAACTAGCTGTGCAAGAAAAGAAGCTGCAGCTTATCGACATTAAACTTGCTTTGAATGGATTTTCTCAATTTATTGGTCATTAAAACAAGACAGATAAACGAACAATATTGTTGTTGTCAATTAGATCTTCTTCAGGCTTTACTCTAATTTACACAGATTTATATATAAAAAATTTTAAGCAATGATGGTGATTTTGTGGACCAAATAATAATGATAATAATGTGGTAAATCTTTACAACATCAGTTATAACGGTGATTATAATGATAACAAAAATAATCACTATAAGCTTTATGCAGATCGCCATGAGAATAACGAGGGTAGTAATATGTCTGTATATGTAGACAGTTCAATAAATAAATTAGGTCAAATCTTGAAAGTTACGTAATACTAAAGGTGAAGCCTAAATAAATATCATAAAGGTACGAAGGAAATGGAGAATAAGAAAGGGTGGGAGGTTTTTGTTAATTAGAATTTACCTAGGCCAATGGGAGAGACAAAGGTAGAACAAACTTCTTTTGTTGCATGCAAAGACTAGGATTGTTCTCTCGAATTAGTTTCCATAGATTTGGCTATGTGTAAAAGGCGGGTTCGAATTCCATTCGAAAGGCTCGATGGAATGCGATAGATAACTTTGAAGACACTACTTCTGTCCACTTGGTGACCGCTATCAATCAAATGAGTCAAAACAGGACTTCTTGTAGATTTTATTTGGCCTTTCCCGAACCAAGAAGAAAGATGCTCAGTAATAATCCGTTTGTTGAGCTGTCTAATTGTTCACACCATATAGCTCTCTCCACGGGAGTACTGGACAGCTGTTTCGTCCTAGTCTGGGACGATACAGCTTCTCCAATGGTTCTCTAACTGATATCAGCTCATGATGAAATCCTCCATGCAATAACAACTATGTTGACCAAGTGGATTAATATGTCAGTATAAGGACACTGAAATACAAGTGACAACTCGACTGAATACGCCGAATGCAACTGTGCCCCCCCGCCCTAAATACCTTCTGCTTCACTGAGCCAAAGAAACATCAGAAGATAAAGAGTGATCTGTTACTCTTAGAGAAATACTTTTATCCGACAAAAACCATCATTTACTTCCAACATACATAAAACTTTGTTAGGTTAGTGGTTAAATAACTTAATTTGATTGGTTGTATAAGGCTGACAATTTTTTATGAGGTCAAAGGTTGTCAAAGAAAATTATCATCTCCAGGTAACAACACACATCTAAAATTGAAACACGTATTCGTTTACATTTCTGCAGCCATTAGGCTTAAAATGAAGAGAAAGAATTATCAGAATTTGATAATCAAAGACATTCAGAAATGGAGATCACAGTTAGAAATCTGTTAATGACAAGAAAAGGTTGTACGAAGTAATGCAAGAAGGATAACAAAACAAATTCAAAAAATTTTTTTTGAAATCTTATATCTGGTTAAAAAAGAAAATTACTATTTCAAATTTGAACACGGATTGATATCAGTTAGAGAACTACTGAAAACCAAGAAGTTCTGGACAGCTGTTTCATCCCAGTTTGAGACTCTTCAATTGTTCATTTCTTCCTGGTTTTTAGTGATTCTCTAATTGCTATCAATCTGTGATCAAATTTGAAATTAATTGAATCCCTACAACCGAACACTTAAGAATCCCAAGTTTGTAAAAAAGACAAGTTAATCGGACAATTTACAGGAACAACCAATCATCAGGAGAGATAAATACTTTATTAATGGAGAATTCTCAAAGCCATCTCCACGGTGAAGTAATCGCTTACGTTGTTGATCATAGGTGTCTGCGTTCTGTCTCCCATGTTAAGCGGCATAGTATATGGTAAGCAATATTGAGGTTAGTTGTTGAATGTTAGGTAAGGAAGGGCACGTGCTGCGCATGTCGAGCTATCGCCTTCCTAAACAAGCAATCTTGGCCGACATGGGATTAGGTTGAAAAGGAGTCAGAGGTGGTCGAAACGAAAATCTGGTATCAATCCATGAAATCATTGACCGTTAGTTTGAGCTACGCAGAGAGATGTAAACCGCCGGGTTGGGGTCGTCGGGATTCTAAGAACAAATGTCTGGAGACTATTGGAGATATAGCTCAAAATCATTCTCAATGGTGCAAATGTTTTCATTCTTTGTAATCTCCTATGTCCATTAAACCCTGCCTACCTTTATGTACTACATGGAATATAGTCAATTGAACTCTGGTACACTTCTGTGCAGAGCTCTATACTGAAACTCAGTCATTTAGTGAATATGTGTAGTAGGACAATTAGAGCTTTTCAGTAAAAATCATCTTGTGTGGAGAAATACAATAACACCCAGAAAAAGAATCCATCTGAGCTACAAACCTCCGCCATGTCATAAGTGTTTGGCTCGTTATCACTGAATTACAGACTATACAGTTAACTCCATAACTCATTTTAGGTGTTATAGATCGATAATTCTTTAAATCACCTAGTTTACTATAAAAACCAGTTCCTTTTCTTTATATACTACAATTCTATAGATTTGTGTATTAGAACAAAGTCTCAAATTCATACTGATAATCTTTGATTACATTCATTATGGTATCTGTTGGTTAATATTTCAGTTAGTGTATAAATAGTTTAATTATGAATGACGAACTTTCAACCAGAAGAAAAAACAGTTAGTAAGCCGAATCAGATGAATAGTTAAAGTGTTTAAAATAAGAAACATATAATCCGGGATCAATATTGTGTTGAGCAGTGATGTGTGTTTAAGAGATGAAGGATGCCGATAGGTATGCAAGAAACGCTATAATGCAAATGAGCTTTCCACTATGTCCCATGTTAGTTGATGTCTTTCTGAGTAAACTAGAAAATGGTCATTTGAAGAACCTTATCAGAAAATTCTCATTTTATTACCGGCATATGGATGATACCTTTACACACTTTGTGAGAAATGATCTGGACAGGAAAGCAATAATATCTCTATTCAATGAAGTACCTTCAAATACAAAATTCACGTGTGAAGACGAATCGAAAAGTAAAATTGCCGTTTTAGACGTCCGACTGATAAGAAGACCAGATGGTAGCATAAAAAGGAATTTGCATAAGAAAAGTACTTGTATGGGTCAATATACACATTTTCACGGCTTTGTTCCTCTCCGGTATATAGAATAAATTTGGTAAAGACCTTCAGGTATAGGGTCAGAGCTCGTTGTTCAGAAGATGCAACTGAAAACGACCTTAAGGTTGTATGTGAAACTAGAATTGAAAATAGCTACCATGAGAAGTTCATCAACCTGCTGTACCATACTATGAAGAGTCCCAAACTAGGACGAAATAGCTGTCCAGTACTCCCAGGTTTTCCAGTGGTTCTCTAACTGATGTCAGCTCACGATGAAATTCTCCATGCAATCAAACAAAATCCCTACAAAACAAATAGTTGTTATCCACATCCAAAATGATGAGAAGTTGTACAATAATATGGTATTACAAGTGTTGGTTTGCAGGGATTTGATTGATTGGTTACAGGATTACATCATGAGCTGGCATCGCTTAGGGAACCATTGGAAAACCTGGGAGTACTGGACAGCTGTTTCTTCCTAGTTTGGGACTCTTTATCAGTTTGCACCCACCGGGGTTTCAACCCAGGTATCGGGCCGCGGTGGCTTTATGGTTTACGAGCTTGCCTTGTAACCAGAAGGTCCCACGTTCGAACCCCACTGGGTGCATACTGACGAAGAGTCCCAAACTAGGGCGAAACAGCAGTTCAGT